TTTAATATTGTTTTAATTCTATAAAGATTTAATCTAACTTTTAGAAGAAGATTGATTATAAAAATATTCGAATCTTTAAAGTGGTAGTTATTAAATATTTTAAAGCTAAACTATATAGATATTCTTTTGAGCTCACCTGCGTAGGATCTGTTTCCACAATTTTCACTAAATTATCATGTAAAATTCTAAAGCTTTTCTTAATACTTAAACAAGTATTTTGCTTCATATTTGTTCCTAAGGCTCAACATAGCTCTTAATTTTCATTTCTATATGTTGTTTGATTTGGTAAAATTTAAAGAAATATAAATTAAAATCTATTTTCTTTTTGTAATTTGAAGCTAATTTAGAACTCAACCAAAAAATATTGATGGCAACTCTAAATACTATTCACTAAAAACAAATCAATTTATGTAACTAATTCAATACTAAGCAAAGAATAAAATTGCACATAGTAAAATTGGTTCTTTTTGTTTTCATAAGCAATTAACGTAATATTTCTTAATAGAAAGCTCTATTTAACGTTCTCAATTGCTTTTTCAAAAATGAAAGGTTTAGGAGAGATGGGATGATATTGAAGTATGCGCCAAGAGAGTTGTATTTATAAAGTTCTTAATAGGAAAAAATAAGGAGCATATTACAACTTTAGGATGTTGTAACTGCTTCTCCTTTTAATAAGAGGATCATATACATCTGCATTATGGTTTGTGAGGAATAAATTCGACATCAAGATTGGTAAATAGGCATAATAACTATAGAGTTTGTTGAAATAACAGATAAGAATAATTACAAGCCCCCATTTAAAGAGTTTTATTACTTTTTATGAGCCATAAATAAATTGTTTTTATTATTTGGCTTAAAAGCTTGCAAATTAAATTCAAATGTAGATTGAAAATATAATTGATTGAATTAGATGAACTAATTTAAATCATCTTCTCACAGCTCCAGATTAGTTAAAAATTTTAAAATAGCCTTTCATTACACAAGCCAAGAGTTAAATTAGAAAAAATAAAATTAAATATTTTGTTATGATTAATTTATTTTTTTGAATTGAGTGGTTCAGATATTAGGTCGAAGAATGAAAATAAGTTAAATTCAGTAAATAAATTGCGTATTAATGTTTTGATTTATTTAAACAATTATTTTTATTTAACATTCATTATTTAGAATAATTTAAAGTTTAATAAGTGATTTAACAATCCTCATCAGTGGCAGCGATACTTTCCTCACATACGAAGCGTTAAGCTAGCCATAAGCATAAACAAAACTCAAATTGCATATTTTTGACTTGAATGATTTCACAATTTTTCAAGGTTCTTTTTAATGAATGCAAATGGCAGAGAATTTTTATAGTCACTAAAAAGAAGTACCTAATCCCGCTGAAAAACTTTCGTCTTGTCCAGGAAATTTAGCAATATTTTACCCAAACTAAGACAGCAATGTTTTTGAACTAACAGAAGATTCTTAGCACACTTGAAAAGAAAGCAAAACTACTAAAAGTATCACTCAACATAAACTTGTCTCTAGTCAAGTGTGATAATCGACGAACTTCCCTTGTTGATCCAGTTCTTGAAAGCATTTTTAGCAAGAACTCTTTTGGAATTACGAAGGAAAACAGATGGCAGTGAGATTGTTAATCTTTCTTGCAATAATCCAAAACTATGAGGCTCTTGTTAGATTTCGAGATAGCTGTTATTCTTCATTTCAAATTCCTTTCCTGCATGCTCATTAAACCAAGAAAATAATGGCATAAAAGAAAAATCTATTGAAGCAAATAATCAACAAACTTATATAATATAATAATAATTTATGGAAAGATATCTCTTTTATTTTGTTTCAAAGAGACTTTAATGTATTTTATTAAAACATCATTTTCTTATATTTAATTTTAATATACATTGAATGAAGAATTAATAAATAGTTACGTAATGTAAAAATAAGGTAGAAGAATGTATTTTAGGAGTTTAATAGGAGTTGGAGGTAAGATATTACAATGATCATTAGTTGTCTTTCAGCAGAATTGATGCATTTCTTGATTAACTTCCTCTTGTTTCTTATCAACCTGTTCCTCACAAAAGCGTTAATGATGCTCCAATATTAACTTAGATCTCATTCTCTTTAATACAAAACTATACCAATTAATTAATTTAACAAGTGGAACCCATTTTTAAATCAATTATTCATTAACAATTTCAAAATCTAGCTTAAGTTTAATAATCAGATAAATATACAAAAGATAATAATGAATAACTACATCCAATTTAATAACACAACCAACATTAATCAAATTCTAACCCATTCACTTATAATTTAATACAAAATCATTCAATTAAATAAGAGGAATATTGTAATGCAATTGCTATTAATAATGATAATTCAATTGTATTAGCTGGATGCAATAGTAAGATCAAAGTATTTGAATTTAAATAAGAATAGTTGAAACTAATTCAACTTTTAAGTGAGCATTAAAGTAATGTTATTACTTTAAATTTTATGAAGAAATCTACTCAATTTATCTCTGGGAGTAGTGATAAATAGATAATAATATGGTGTATGGATTAACATAATTAATGGATCTGCTAATACAAGTTGAATGAACATTAATAAAAGATTAATTGTTTAATTTTGAATAATAATGAAGATCTTATCATATCAGGAAGTAGTGATAAAAAAATTAAATTTTGGAAAAAACAGAATCAATGGATATGCTCATAAACTATTACAGATCACACTAAAGAAGTATAAGGATTAAGTTTGAATGAGAAATAGGATAAATTGATATCTTGTGGATAAGATATGTTTATATTAATAATAGAAGAGTCATAAAAGGATTAAAAATGGAATGTTATATAAAAGATAACAGTTGAATAGTATGGTTATCGATTATGCTTCATCAATGATAGTGTATTCACATTTCAACCAAGACTTAAAGAGTATATGCATGTTTATGAGATCAATAGTACTAATAAATAGTATTCAAAGACAAATCAAATTGAT